CAAACTTTCTGAGGGTGCACTCCTTGCCATCTTCCAGATCGTTGATGAAGACATTGAACAAAACCAGCCCCAGGACCAGCCTCTGGGACACTCCACTTGATACTGGCTGGCAACTAAACACTGAACCATTGATTGCTACTCTTTGAGCCTGACAGTCCAGACATTTTTCTCCCCAACTTAGTGCATTCATCCAACCTTCCTTAGTTTGCTTGCGAGAATGTTGTGGAAGACTGTATCAAAAGCCTTGCTAAAGTCAAGGTATACCACATCTACTGGTCTCCCTGCATTCACAGAGCCAGTTATTTTGTCATAGAAAGCAATCAAGTTGGTCAGGCATGACTTGCCCTTGGTGAGTCCATGTTGCCTGTCCCTGATCATGTTCTCCAAGTGCCTAGAAATTGATTTTTTGAGGATCTGCTCCATGACTTTTTTGAAGGGCTAGGTTGAGGCTGACTGGTCTGTAGTTCCCCAGACCTGCTTTCTTCCCGTTCTTGCAGATGGGCACTATATTTGTCCTTTTCATCTGGTACTTCTCATGATCACCACATGTTTTCAAAGATAATGTCCAGAGGCTCTGCAGTCACATCGGCCAACATCAGCAAGCTCAGGTGTTTCCCATCTGGCCTCATGGACTTGTACATGTCCAACTTTTCTAAAGAGTCCCTAACCTGTTCTTTGACCACCCCCCAGCCTAAAACTACCTTATAATCTAGATCCCTTTGGTAGTCTCATTAATCAAACTCACTGCTCATATGCACTTGCTGTTTATAGTTGATTCCTCCAGCTTATCTAGTTGATGTCCCTTCTTTTCCCTCAGACTTTGGGGCACCGTGCCTAACTTGATGTTCTGAACCTGACACTCCTCTCTGAATGTCATGTTTAAACGACATTCCTACCCAGCTCTGTTTTCCATTATTTTTCTCATCCTATTCAAGAAAACAGGAAAAACTTCATCCTTTTTCTGGGCAGACAAGGTTCTTTGGGTAAATCTGATATTATTAGAGCAACTAGTTGGTCCATTGGTCTAATAAAAGATATCAGATGTACCAAAAGAACCTTGTCTTCCTATAGAACAGCATGTCACATACAAATAATACAAATTATCATAGCTTCCTATGAGATGCTGATGGGACTAATTAAGTAAAACATGAAGCTAATTAGCTCAGTTTTGGGAAAATATCCATGCATGTGTAAGCAGTGCAGTGCTTCCCCTTTCGCTGGGGAAAAAGTACTCACCACTTAGTCATTGTGCAAGTTCTTTCTTAGCTACGTTAACTGTAATTGTAAAAAAGAAACATTGATTAATGTCTACATCCATGATATGCTTTTGGCTCACTCCTTTGTACCTGTGCTGGTGGCAGATCCACTATATGCGCTTAAAGGCAAACTAATAATAAAAAGATTCCTAATTTCTATCACTGGCACTCTT